CAACCATTTAGCGATTTTTTTCTAATTCAAGATTCAGTCCAGTCTTTGAAGAACGAGCCGAGGTGCTCGCGGGACACCTAATGACTAATTACCTGACACCTAATGACTAATTACCTGATTTGAAACTTGCCTAACGCTAATAAAATTTAAAATCGGTAGTGAGTTTGGACCCCCAACTGCGGTAACAGTAATTAAAATCCCTGGCGTCCAGTGTTTTAAATCCCCCCTCTTTCCGCGCCACCTTTGTTTGAAATCCCCCACTGCCTGTTTAAAATCCATTGCGCCTTGTTTAATTCCCCCCCCCCCCAATGTCCCATGTTTAAAATCTAAAACACTTCCCCTGTTTAAAATCCCCCCCCCCTTTTTAAAATCCCCAACGCCCTCCGTTTATTATCCCCACCTACTGTACAAAAATCTCCGCCTCCTGCTTTAAAAATCCCCCCCGACCTCCTGATTTAAATCCCCTAGACTCTCAGGTGAGTTAAAAAAAAGTTTATCCGCTTGAAACTAAAACAACAAAAATCTCCATTCTCGCACTGTTCAAAATCCCTACCCCACGAAATCCCCTTAGACTCTCTCTCTCCGGTATCCGAACAAAAAAAATCCCAGTTGCGGCATACTCTTACGAAAATCCCCCAGGCTTTGCTTAATGGGATTTAATTTCGACACGACAGTGTGTTTATGCATCCGGATTAATGTGGTTCTTAATGAAAAAAGGATTTAAATCCCTGGCAGCAGGCGGATTCACAGACGCAGAGATCTGCTTAGCATTTCTTAAGCACAGGCTTATGGTTGTAGCGGTAATAATACTAATATTAAATCATTACAGTATCAGAATTGCAAGAAATTATCATTGTTTATACTATTATTTATTTATTTATTTATTTATTATTATTATTCATGGACATTATTCAGAATATTAAGTATTATTTACACTTATTTATTTATACACTAAAATTTCCGTCGTATAAACATTCTTTCTGAAATATATTTTGATTTTCATCGTGAAATCTTAAATTTCCAGTGTTCTTAGGAGCGGCTTTTGTTGATTGTTCTCGAGGCTTTTGTTACAGCTGGTTTTATGGGGCTTTTTTTTTATAGTGACATTGTTGCTTACGTTGTTTTGATTGTGGCCTGTTGTTTTAGTTTGGGAAATTCGATAAGAAACGTTGATGGGGTTAACTTTTGGCTGACGGGGCCACGTGACGTCCACCTGGCGGTTGTTATCATGTTAGTATCACGTGACGTCCACCTGGCGGTTGTTATCATGTTAGTATCACGTGACGTCCACCTGGCAGTTATCATGGTAGTATCACGTGACGTCCACCTGGCGGTTGTTATCATGTTAGTATCACGTGACGTCCACCTGGCGGTTGTTATCATGTTAGTATCACGTGACGTCCACCTGGCAGTTGTTATCATGTCAGTGTCACGTGACGTCCACCTGGCAGTTGTTATCATGTCAGTGTCACGTGACGTCCACCTGGCAGTTGTTATCATGTCAGTATCACGTGACGTCCACCTGACAGTTGTTATCGTGTTAGTATCACGTGACGTCCACCTGGCGGTTGTTATCATATTAGTATCACGTGACGTCCACCTGACAGTTGTTATCGTGTTAGTATCACGTGACGTCCACCTGGCAGTTGTTATCATATTAGTATCACGTGACGTCCACCTGACAGTTGTTATCATGTCAGTGTCACGTGACGTCCACCTGGCGGTTATCATGTCAGTATCACGTGACGTCCACCTGGCAGTTATCATGTCAGTATCACGTGACGTCCACCTGGCAGTTGTTATCATGTCAGTGTCACGTGACGTCCACCTGACAGTTGTTATCATGTCAGTATCACGTGACGTCCACCTGACAGTTGTTATCATGTCAGTGTCACGTGACGTCCACCTGGCAGTTGTTATCATGTCAGTGTCACGTGACGTCCACCTGGCAGTTGTTATCATGTCAGTGTCACGTGACGTCCACCTGGCAGTTGTTATCATGTCAGTGTCACGTGACGTCCACCTGGCAGCTACATAAAGCATTTCAAGAAAGTTTCGTCAAGACCAAATAACTATATTATGGGGGGGGGGCCATGGTGCTTGGATAGCAATGATAACATTACTTGGACTGCTAGCATATGTTGCTTACAATACTGACTAGTAGTCAAAGATGCTATCGTGCCATGTTAGACCATCTAAGATGCTTAGCCTACGATGGTATGACGACTATGCTGTCTTGCAAGGATAGTTGGGATATCTAGAAAGTTTGTATTGCAATGACGCGTTGCAATTTAGAGTAGCTAGGACATGGTTAGATGATACCGTAAATTAGCGATACGTTATCAAAGTTTCTTGTTTTAAAAGTCTAATCAACCCATTTTGCATTGTTGGAATACCATGTGTCCCACGAGAGAGAGAGAGAGAGAGAGAGAGAGAGAGAGAGAGAGAGAGAGAGAGAGAGAGAGAGAGAGAGAGAGAGAGAGAGAGAGAGAGAGAGAGAGAGAGAGAGAGATTAGAGAAAGCTGAGACAGAGATTAGAGAGAGCTGAAACAGATTAGAGAGAGCTGACACAGATTAGAGAGAGCTGAGACAGAGATATTAAAGAGAGAGATGGAAAGAGAAAGAGAATTTTTGAATAAAATGGGATGATTTTAAGCACATTTTTCGCTGGTAGGCCTATCATTTTACTATTGGAAAAATGTCAAGACGCCGAAAAAGAGTTTCCTATTTTTACGCAAATTTCTGCTGAGTTCGGCCAGATCTGAGGGTGAAGTCCTAACAAGATGAACCAAAGTACGAGGAAGCCACCGATGTATTTTGAAACTTGTTATAATTTTTTTCTGGAACTCATCGTTCATAAATTTGCCAGTTTCTCATATTATTATCTATTATTATTAGTCATTAGCTTTATTATCTATCGTTAAATGGCAGCTTAATTCAAATAGAAGAGTAGAAGACGAATAGAAAGAAAAGTAGATAGAATGTAATGATAATAATAATAATAATAATAAATTTTTTTATTATAATTATCATTTCAAAGAAGGACAATAAAAAATAAAAAATAGATGCATTTGTTGTCATTCCATAATGGATATGACCGAATATATCGACGATAGACCACACAAACATACCACCCCTACGAGAGAAGGAGGGGGAAAAAAAGGAAAGTTAGCAAAAATCCTACCACAGATATCCCCCGCCAACATACTCTAGAATATACCTAATGATAGACCCCGCATACCATACCCGAGTGCAACAAACGTCAGTCAGAACTGCAGCTTCACTTTATCTCTGCCTGTCCCCCCCCACTCCTCCCCCCCCCCAATGAAGACATTTTCAGAGGATTGAATTTGCATATGTACATCCCCAGTGTAATTAATGATTTTGTACAGACACACACACATACCAGGCCGTCCTGACACGAGTACAGGAATGACATACATATTTGGCCTCCAAGGGGGGGGGGGCAAGAGGAGGGCGGACTCTCCCTTACCAAATGTTTGACAGTATCTGTAAAAACTACCTCAATAATGTTGGAAATTTTCGTGATTCTCAGCCCCCAACAACGAAGGAAACATTTTACAATCGTCTACACCGTTCAGTAATGTCATCCATATGTTGATTAAGTAAACATATCCCAGTACATTTAACCGCGCTTTACATAACCGGTGATTATAGTGTTTTCACATGAACAAGGAGGGTTATGAAACAGCTCTTGTTGTTATAGACCAAAAGCGCGTACCATTCTCCTACAAATCATCTTCCACGAAACAGAGTAAATGTTTATAATATGAATCGGGTGTAATTATATATACAATTATCCACACGACATATCCACGTCTCTCACAACGTGCTGGAGGTGTCGCCGAGGCTCGTCAGGACCCAGTAAGAAGTCATGGGGGGAAGGGGGGGAGGGGGTGTGGGCATGGGGGGGAAGGGAGAGAGAGAGGCGCGAGGAACGTAATATTCATAGCGTCGTCATTGAGCCGAGTCTGGGCCTCCCTACATCCCTCTGTAACCTGTCAATAGGTTTCCAAACTCCGGGTGAAGTGAGTGCGGCCAGTATAGCACTTACTTACGACACTCTTGGACTCTCTCTTTCCTACAGTATTGGTTAACGATACACGTGCTGTTTTATAAATATATATATACTGTAGACCCTCTTTTAAAATGTGATGTGTCCTGGCCACTTATGTGCTGATATTAAAACATGTTTGGTTTAATAGACTGTCCGGTGTGACAAGCTCTCAGAGGAGGTCGCTGGATGACGGTGTTGTCGCGCTGAGGACCTGGTGTGTCACCCCGCGCGATTCCTGACAACCATCATTGTCGCGACCGGTTGACTCGACCCATAAATCCGGACAGGTGACGATCCGGTGTCGTACTTGACGGAGGGTCCCTCGGGGCCATCCCCTCCTCCTCACGCTGAGCCGCGTTCAAAGCCTCTCCACGACATTTGTCAACTGTTGTCGCCTTGGGCGCTGGCCTCTGCCCGAAATGATCAATTTATCCATCATTTCATACATTTTATTCATTGTCGTCTAATATTTTGGGGGACTCTGAATTATACGAAGGAGGTGACGACGCCTCCACCCATATATTACCACCTATATATATTACCACCTATATATATTACCACCTACCCATATATATTGCCACCTATATATATTACCACCTATATATATTACCACCTATATATATTACCACCTATATATATTACCACCTACCCATATATATTGCCACCTACCCACCCATATATTGTCTACCTACCCATATATATTGCCACCTACCCACCCATATATTGGCCACCTACCCATATATATTGGCCACCTACCCATATATATTGGCCACCTACCCATATATATTGCCACCTACCCACCCATATATTGGCCACCTACCCATATATATTGCCACCTACCCATATATATTGCCACCTACCCACCCATATATTAACGTTGCGCTGTATCATGCTAGCCTCCCCGACCGTCTACTGTACCTACCTCTGCCGGATCTCCCGACGAAGCGGAGGTCGTTGAACTTGGCCACCTGGTTCTTCATGACGGCGGAGTTGTTGCGCAGTTCTCCGCAGAAGTTCTCGTCGTTGCCTGCGCGGATGGTGACGATGGTGCCGTCCTTGACGTCGTCGAGGGCCACCACCTTGAAGGACATGGGCAGCGACTTGTTGGAGCGCCAGTGGTTGGGGAGCGCCGTACACAGGATGTTGGGCGACCCGGTCTTCATCAGTTCGCCAGGGTGTTCGCCCCCGCCGCTCATCCCGCCCATGCCGCCCACCTCCGTCGCCATGTCCCCTGCGCTGCGCCACGCCACCGTCATCAGGGCGCGCGGGTCGGCGGCGCCTGCATGGGGAGCCACGGCGCCGGCGACAAGTACCCTACCTGCAGGCCGCTACTGACGCCACACACACGCACTCCTGCCTGCACCCGAGGGCACCTGCACCTGCACACACACACACCAGATGCGTGCAGCTGTCCCAGGGGCAGCGGCGGCGGCAGGCGACGCCCGCCCGACGCCACTAGTTAACGGCGGCGACGGAACACTGACGGCGGGTGCTTGCTTGCTTGCTTGCTTCTCGCTTGACCTTACATACTAGAAAAGGAGCGACTCGCTGAGTGACTTCGCAGCTCCTCCCGATGATTAGCGCTCACGCTAATATTCTGCACGCTGGAGGGACGTCTTATTTTGCTTTTTTTTCCAGTGATAATCGACGGTTATCAGATGATTTCAATCAATCTCAAAACACAGTGTTCGCTGGAGGCGTCGGGTCGCACGGTGCGTACCGCGCTACGCTCCGCCTCTTCTTCTACACATTATCACTAAACTGCGACAATTGCTGCTGCTTACTGAGGGTATGAGGGGCGCCCCTGACGCTACCCACACACGGGCGGACGATACCCACACGCGGGCGGACGGTACCCACACACGGGGGGACGGTACCCACACCACTGCCGTCGTCACTCTCTTGAGAACATCAAACAAAACTCTTCACTCCACAGAAGAAACTTAAAAAAAAAGATAATTGAGACTACTAGGATTCGAACCACCTTTCCAGACGCTTGTGAGGCGTCTGGTGGTCTGGCGACGGTGTCCGGAGACGAGGAAGGTGGTATATCTTAAAGTCTTGAGGTGGTTTGGTATGGTTGAGTTGACGTGGTTGATTTGTGGTGGTCGAGCCTCACATTCCGACAATCTCTTCCCCCAGATCACTTCCTTTCAAGCACTTCTGCAGCTTAGGACAAATAAATCACCACTTTTCTTAAGAAATTAAAACAAATAAATATGCGCTGATCACCGACGCTGCTCAGTCAACTTGCAATGAATTCAAGGAAAAAAAAAACAATCATAGACACCGTCTTTAAGAAGGACACACAAAACTTTTTCAAGAATTCCCAGTGCGCACTCGCTAGTCATTTCTCAATTCCAGTAAAACTTCCGCCAGTTCTAGTTTTACTTTCTACAATAATTCTCTCGCCACGGCACCACAAGAGAACCACACACGCACACGCAAACTGCTATAGCCAGCCAACGAGGTGGTTGGCGGCTGTAAGCGGGCGCGACAGCCGAGAGGAACGACAGCTCTGTAACTCCTCGACGACTACGAGACGGGGGGATGGAAGACCCGAGGTGTGGCCGAGGTGTGGCGGGTGTGGCGTGTCCGGTCAGTGTGGCGGGGTGAGGATGACTGACTGGCTGGCTGACGGTCGGGGAGGTCTGGCCCGCCGAGGACTACCCGCCTCCCGACGGCCAACCGCGCGGTGAACCCAAAACTCGTCCGAACACCGCCACGGCCCCCGACACCTTATTTAATTTTTTTCCTGTGCCGTCAGCTCATCGAGCTCCCGGTGGTTTCGGCCGCTCGATCCGGCTTGCAGACGGATTTCGCATCTAGGATGGGGGCCTTGGGGCGTGGTGTGATGGAGAATTCCTTAGCTGGGAAATTAAAAGTGGAAAAAAATGCATTTTTGTCTATCGCCGACTTCGCACGCCGGCCCGGAGACGCGATTGACTCTATCATTACCAGTGGCGGCTCGGAGCCCGCGCTTCCACCCGGCGCGTCACTCCACCAACCTCTGTGTCCCCCCCCTAAGAATGTATCTACTCTTTATTTGCGGACTTTAACAAACAGAGAACTCGTGACTACGGCAGTCCCCAAATGCTTAAAACCCCAACCAGCCTCCACACAGTCACGGAAGCCCAGGTGAGACAGTTATTAAGAGGGTGTAGGCATTAATGTGGGGGGGGGATGAGAGCGGCGTGAAGGAGTGTCTGGCATCTGTGTAAACCACTGGTCGGCCAATCAGGCGACCGCTACACACCTCAAACTCCGCCCACCACACCATCCCAGGAAAAGAAAGACATTAAATATTTACAAGGATTTTTGACTTCACTCTTTGATTTCTGAATGGAAAATTGAGCTTGTAAGCGTTCCAAAAGCTTATATGAAGACTCCGTGTGTTCTTTTTCAGCTGAACCATTTCGTAGAGTAAATTAATAAGAATATTGGGGTTTATGTGTCGTGGGGAGGGAAGAGGTGGAGGAAGATTGCTGTTTCTGACCGAGTTTTGTAGGTCGCTATTACGCCAGCCATGGCACAGTGCTCCTATGTGTCCCTTATGTCAATATTGCACGCATATCTTCATTATGCAAGTATGTGTTTACATATATATATATATATATATATATATATATATATATATATATATATATATATATATATATATATATATATATATATAATTGTGAGGGTACCACCTCTGGTGCAAATGTGTGGACCCATTGCCTCGGAAAAGAAAATAAGGAGTATTCAAAGACCTTGTGGATTCTCACTGAACACTTTAATATTTTCTCCTACCATCCCCATTCTTTTGTATATACACATATATGTTTGTTTTATTTAAACTTTGTTACAAAAAAGGAGTTACATATTGGGTAGGAAGATGATTATCATGAGTTGTGGAGTTCCTCCAGCTCCTCAGATGGCGGGCAGGAACCCTGAATGCAGTGTGCATTTCCCCTCTGAATCGCCACGCTGAGGCGCTGGGAAAAGAAGCTGGCAGCTCTAGGGTCTCTTGTTGTTTCAATTAGCCTAGAACCCAGTTCCTTCAAAAAATTGGTAATATATATTCCAGATGTTAGTCCTTGGATCCCACCTTTCTAACCATTGGTTATCTAATATACTGACCCAATTTACAATATCATATTAACTACACACACACACACACACACACACACACACACACACACACACACACACACACACACACACACACACACACTCACAGCACAACTAGGTGAGTACACACACACACACTCACACACACAGCACAACTAGGTGAGTACACACACACACACACACACACACACGAACACACACACACACAACTTCAAGGGCAGATATGATAGATCCCAGTAGGCTCAGGAACCTGTACATTATTTGATTGACAGTTGAGAGGCTGGACCAAAGAGCCATAGCTCAACCCCCGCAATCACAACTAGGTACTGGCAGCCGAGTGGACAGCGCTCTGGGATCATAGTCCAGAGGGCCTGAGTTCGATTCGAGGACGAGGTAGAAACAAATGTGTAGTTTCTTTCACCTTTAATCCGATGCGCCTGTTCACCTAGCAGTAAATAGGTACCTGGGAGTTAGACAACAGCCTCGGGCTGCATTCTGACGATGAGTGAGAAATATTTAGATAAGATAGAAGACAAAGTTCATTAGACAACCGATGATTAGAAAGGCGGGGTCCGAGAGCTAACAGGTCGATCCTGTCTAATTTCCAGGTACCTATATACACTGCTAGATGAACAGAGGCATGAGGCGAAAGAAACTTTGTCCATTTGTTTCTCCCTCAGCCAGGAACTGAACTCGGGCCTTTTGAACTACGACTTCTGGGCGCTGTCTGCTCAGCCGCGAGGACTTGTATGTACGTGTTTGAGTGTACGTGTTTGAGTGTGTGTGTGTGAGTGTGTGTGTGTGTGTGTGTGTGTGTGTGTGTGTGTACTCTAATATTTGTGCCTGCAGGATTGAACAATAGCTCCTGAACCCCCCTTCCTTATAGCCACTTTTTGTCTGCTACAATGTCTCCTGGCTACAATGTCTGCTGTTTGTCTGCAACAATGTCTCCTGGCTACAATGTCTGCTGTTTGTCTGCTACAATGTCTCCTGGCTACAATGTCTGCTGTTTGTCTGCTACAATGTCTCCTGGCTACAATGTCTGCTGTTTGTCTGCTACAATGTCTCCTGGCTACAATGTCTGCTGTTTGTCTGCTACAATGTCTCCTGGCTACAATGTCTGCTGTTTGTCTGCTACAATGTCTCCTGGCTACAATGTCTGCTGTTTGTCTGCTACAATGTCTCCTGGCTACAATGTCTGCTGTTTGTCTGCTACAATGTCTCCTGGCTACAATGTCTGCTGTTTGTCTGCTACAATGTCTCCTGGCTACAATGTCTGCTGTTTGTCTGCTACAATGTCTGCTACAATATTTGCCTATTATATCTTCAATTACAATCGGGAATGGACTTTGCTTCCACAACTTTGCTCCTTCGGGTCATTCCATTTCCCACTACTTTTACGCCAAAAGAAAACTTTTCTAACATCTCTATGGCTCAGATGAGTCTTAAGCTTCCCCTTCATAACATTTCCTCTTTTCCAGTCTGTAAGTCCCCCTAAGTATTTTATACGTCTCTAACATGTCTCCTCTCTCTCTATCCTCTATTTCTAGCCTAGTCAGGTTTAGTTCTTTCAGTTTCTCCTCATACACTATCCCTCGCAATTCTTTGACGAGACTCGTCGCAAACTTCTGAATCTTTTCGAGTTTCCTTGTGTGTGTTTTGTAAGATGAGGGCTCCACGATGGGGCTGCATGCTCTAAGACTGGTCTCACGTAGGTGGTGCACAGCGATCCCTTACTGTTACTTCTTTGATTCGTGTCAGGCAAGTCTTTACCCATCTGAGTGCTTTGCCGCTTCCTCCCGACGGTTCATTACGCAAGTTCTTGTGAGGTTCTGTATCAAAGGCTTTTTGACAATCCAGAAATACGAAATCTTCACTGTCCTGCCTTATTTTCGTGTGTGTGTGTGTGTGTGTGTGTGTGTGTGTGTGTGTGTGTGTGTGTGTGTGTGTGTGTGTGTGTACTTACCTAATTGTACTTACCTAATTGTGCTTGCGGGGGTTGAGCTCTGGCTCTTTGGTCCCGCCTCTCAACCGTCAATCAACAGGTGTACAGGTTCCTGAGCTTACTGGGCTCTGTCATATCTACACTTGAAGCTGTGTATTTACCTAGCAGTAAATAGGTACCCGGGAGTTAGTCAGCTGTCACGGGCTGCTTCCTGGTGTGTGTGTGGTGTGGGGGAAAAAAAAAAAGTAGTTAGTAAGCAGTTGATCGACAGTTGAGAGGCGGGCCGTAAGAGCAAATCTCAACCCCCGCAAAAACACAACTAGTAAACACACACACACACACACACACACACACACACACACACACACACACACACACACACACACACACACACACACACACACACACATCCTCAGGAATGTGTGTGCTCAACCCCCGCAAGCACAAATAGGTGAGGAAGCAGCCTGTAGCAGCTGTCTAACTCCCAGGTACCTATGTACTGCTAGGTGAACAGGTGCATCAGGGTGACAGGAAGACTCTAGCCATTTGTTTCTGCCTCCGCCGAGGATCGAACCCAGGCCCTTAGGACTACGAGTGGGTATGAGTGTTTGTGCGTATGAGTGTTTGTGTATGTGTGTGTGAGAGAGGAGGAGTTGGGAAGGGAAGAAAGAGACCCGTGGGTTGCCGGGTAAAACACCCCCCCCCCCCGGGGTTTACCCGGCCACAACCACTCTACCACAACTCCTACCACCACCACCACCATTTCCACCACATCCACCAACTCCACAACCACATTCATCATCGCCAGGTAACCCAATGGACATTGGATCACTACATTGTTTCAAGCGCAGGCTAGACATATACATGAATAAGTTTGAATGGATGTAAATAAAGGGCTGCCTCGTATAGGCCAATAGGCCATTTACAGTTTACTTCAGTAGGACCTAATTGAATTATTCCTTTTTGGACAAAATTGCATATTTATGTTTGTTAAAAAAAAAGATGTTAATAATGAAGCCAGTTTAATTTATTCACACCACAGCTACCACCATCTAAGCCACTGTAACCACAGCTACCACCACCACCACAACCACCATCACCACAACCTCTCTCAGCTTGTCACTGGAAATCACTACAGCATATGATCAAACAGAACGTTGGAATCTAGCCAACCCCTTCAGTCGTTGACCTTCTAATGACCCTTCGACCTTGCCAGGAACTATGAGACACACCCTTAATTCCTCCCACTGACCTCAGAGTGCCCCTGACCTTGCCAGGAACTGTGAGACACACCCTTAATTCCTCCCACTGACCTCCGAGTGCCCCTGACCTTGCCAGGAACTGTGAGACACACCCTTAATTCCTCCCACTGACCTCCGAGTGCCCCTGACCTTGCCAGGAACTGTGAGACACACCCTTAATTCCTCCCACTGACCTCCGAGTGCCCCTGACCTTGCCAGGAACTGTGAGACACACCCTTAATTCCTCCCACTGACCTCAGAGTGCCCCTGACCTTGCCAGGAACTGTGAGACACACCCTTAATTCCTCCCACTGACCTCCGAGTGCCCCTGACCTTGCCAGGAACTGGA